GACGGTGGCCGGAGGACGGTGGCCGGAGAGAGAAGAGAGGAGGGAGGAAAGTTGTAAAATACCAAAAATATCCTTACATTAAAATTTTAATTTAAAATTGCCAAAATTATAAATTTCCTAATTTATCTATTGATTTGTGGTTAATATTGGTTCTCACAGTTACCACAAACTAATTAGTTCTCATTTGATTAGGCCCCTATATATATTGTGTATAAAAATATTGTTTTTGTTTTTTATAGGAAAAAGACAAAAAAATAAGCAAAAAATTAAAATGGTCATTGATTTAACATGGTTAACAAAAACGTTAATCAGAAAGACTATGACCAAAACAAATTAAATACCACAAGGACCAAATCCATAATAAATTTATCATAGAAACGTTAATAAAAAATATTAAACTCCAAAGACCAAATTCACAATTCACTCTAAATTTGTTTTTTTAATGCAATAAAACTCATCATTTATATTTAATAATGCCATCAAAATGTGTTAGCAACATATATTGTTTATGTTTTCGAAAGATTGAGATGAAAATTGAAAACCAAAACCAACCAAAATGTACCAATTTTGAAATTCATACTTATTAAATATTATAATCAATTTCATAATTGATAATTATTGTTTATCAAATTTCGAAGTGATTTTGATAATTATTTCCTTAATTGTTTGATAAATGAAACTATCGAGATTTGTGGCTAATTCACCCAAATGTTGCTTAATATTTTGAAAGCAACATTTAATAATAAACATTAGATTGTTTTCGTAATAAGATAACAAAATTTAACTTATAAATTGATTGATTTTATTGTTTAATCAAATAAGTTGTGATGTTTATAGGAAAATAAATCATAGAGCAATAATGTAAGAGCAAAATATATCATTTTAAAAGGTCGTTTATCAATACTTATTTGGGTAAGCGTTTATCAAGTAACATTATCTTACCAGATGAATATGGTAAATACCAATAATCTTACCCGGTAAGAGCAAAGCAGATACCGAGAGTCTTACCTGATAAGTGAGAGCGATTACTCTTATCATGGTTAGTGCTTACCGGATAAATTGTAACATTTGATACAATTTTGGTGGATTAAAATCTTATCTGGTAAATAAGTGATAATGTTGAATTTTATCGATAAACACTTACCTGGATAAGCGTTTTGTAAACGGCCCATGAAACTAGTTTTCATCCATAGCTATGATGTAATTGACCTTCAAGGAACATATATGTATTAATGTTATAAAAACAACTCCTACAATTTTTTATATAATTTTCAAAATAGAAAAATAGTAAATTACAAATTTCATCCTTGTGGTTATTTGATAATTATGGATTAAGTCCCCCAAACAAAATGATTACATAGATAGTCATTATGGTTTCATTTTCATTATGGATTAGGTCATTCGCTCTAATTCTGTCAACCTTAATCCCGTTTGGTCAGGGATATATTGGTCATTTTATCATTTAAACTAAAAACGTATTTTACAATTTTAAAACTAACAAGTACAAGTGTATGCATCAATGTGAAAAATAAACCGTGAAAACCACCACTCATCTCCGGCCTCCTCCCTTTCACCGGCCACCACCATCTCCATCAAAAACAAATCTTAAAACTTAAATCAAACACTAACTCAAGCCCTAGAATAAAAACTATTTTTATGCTTAAAAATTAAACTCAAACTCTAGACTAATTTTTCCTTTGAAAATTAGACATGGAGAAAAGAAATCTCACGTTCTTTTTGATTGAAAAAGACCCAAATCATCTTCTACAATTCCTTGTTATTTTTTTGAATTCTAATATGATAAGTTGTTACGAGAAATCTACAAAGATTTAGGAATTAGCGTTTTCAATAAACTTACTTATATTTTTACAGAGTATTTGATTGTTAAGAGACGAAGATGGAAGTTTAAGATGAGGATGCCGGAGATAATTAGTTTCATTTTAAAATCTCATGTCACACATAATAAAAAAAAAACCTACGTTTTTAAACTTCATAGAAAAACATTATCGAATTCAATGTAATTATAAAATATATTTTTATTTATTTTGAGCTGTTCCATGAAAAATACAATGTATTTTATATAATATAAATTGTGGTTTATATAAGTGACTATTATTTATAAGATATTCATAAGCTTTATTTTAGTCTATATATTTTAAGGGGGTGTTTGATTGAGGAATCTGAAAGAATTAAAATGATCAATTTTATTAACCAAATTCCATTCAGATGTTTGGATTTTACCTATGAAATGGAATTGAATTTCACACATCCTATCATTCATGGATTTGGTCATTTTATCACAATTGAAAATCCATTTTCTCAAAAAGACAAAATTATTCTCATTTTCCCTACTTGATTTATAGAGACTTATATGACCTCCATCTTAACCATCGCCGACTACCATCGATCTGAACCACCGTCCGCCACCACTGATCTAAACCTCCGTTGACCACCGCCAACCACCACTGATATGAACAACCGTTGACTGCCACCGATCTGAACTATCGTCGACCACCACTACAAGTAGATTCCAAATTATTTAAAAGATTATATTCTAATTCATTCCAACCAAACATGTCATCAAATGCCATTTCAATCAAATTCTTTTCACAGGCATCATTCCTTCAGAAAATATCCTGCAAACCGATCGTGACCTAACAATTATTTTAGATGAAAAAAAAGTAGGTTATTATGTTGAACTTCCATAAAACTTTGGGGGATTTTATGAAACTATTTAACGATTGTAGTCGATAGTATTGTTTTCAGACGGGGATCGACGGTGAAGGCAAAATTGGTCAAAAATTCATCCTTCAAAGTTCAAAGCTTTCGCAATTTCAACGAATTTTGAAGAATCGTCAGAAACAACTCGATCGTTTTCTTCTTACTGCTTGAATCACGAGATAATGGTGCTCTTTCTCACTCTTCATGATTCTAATTTCATTCAAAGTTTTTTTTTTCCTCTGAAGGATTGCTTTGATGTTCTTTGAAATGGACAGATCCGATTCATTCTGCTTCAGAACCGGCAAGGGAAGACTCGTCTCGCTAAGTATTACATTCCTCTTGAAGAATCTGAAAAGCACAAGGTCGAATACGAGGTAACACTAAAGCAAAGTTCTGGGTTTTGATTCTCCTTTCGATCAACGTAATCTGATTTTGCAAATTTGGATTCTAACCCTAATTTTTTTGCGTAATTGTGTGTGTTTAGGTTCATCGGTTGGTCGTAAACAGAGATCCCAAATTCACTAACTTCGTTGAGGTATTGATCTTCCTATCATCTTCCATTATGTAGGTAGAAAAATAAAAATAAAGAAAGACTTTGAATTAGGGTTTTTTAACGGGTTACTGTTTAACTTCAAAGTTGATATATATTTTGGTGACCATTTAGAATTGTTACAAAAGGACTATGGTAAATTTGCAAGTAGTGGTCATTGACGTCTATAAGACCGATCTTTAGGTTGCCCTGGCTAGATCTCATTGTATGATACGCAAGAATCAGTTTCTAAATGCTCTTCGTTAAGGCTGTTTTCATGAATTGTTGACACACCATTTTCTGATAATGTATGAATTAGACGTGATGAAGTTGAGCCATCAATCTTGCTTGGAAGATCAGACCTATTACTGTTTACATGTGTTATAAAACTCCCTTGTTAGGACGACCTAAGCATTTGCCTAGGCATTTAGGTGCTCCTCATTGCCTTCGATTAGTGGGAGGTGGTCTTGGCTGCCTAGGAGTCGTATCCTCCGTCACTTCAATTTGCGTTTAATTATTGAACTTCTTTTTATAAATTAAGCAGAGAGAAATCAACCTTTCTGAGCTTTTATTCAACAATCGACTTTTTCTCACCTTGTAGGGAATCTTCCTGATCATATGATTAGAAACGTAACTGTTCAAAATACATATTATATAAAATTTAGTTCTTATTGCTTACAAAATCCCCATGGTTTCGCTTAAGCATCTCCATAATCCTTGTGTAGGTGATTTTAAGTGCTAGAAGGTCACTTGTCCGCCTAGCTCCCACTAAGCGCTATTTGGAACACTGTTATTACGAAATAGCTTTGTGTGATAGTTTGATAGAGGAGAACTAGAGAAATATAGCTACATTTAGTGATTGTTGAGTTCAGTAGGTTTAGATAATTGTATAGGTGCTTGGTGCCTATGAAGTTGATGACATGTTTAGCTCTTGAGAAGTGCAGCTTTCCTTTGTTTCAAATGCAATCAACAGGCAGTATTTGAGCCTGTATTTTTGTACTTGTTTCAACTAAATCAAGTCATCAAGGGCATTGATATTGATTGTTAGTTACTGTGCTTATCTTATGAGAGTTGAGGTACATAAGAAACCTTTGGGAACTAGACCAGCTTGTCATAATTCGTAATATATATATTGTTGAGTGTGTATAATATATTTCTATATGCAAATTGTTTCTAAGAATGGTCAACTTGTGAGCTAAATGGCATAGCTCGTACAAGAGAACTTTAATAAAAAAATTATTCAATCATGAAACATGTAGAACAAACAAGATGATAACTCTTGTGTTGGTACTATATTGTTAGGATTACACAATTCTGAAATAGCTTTTTAGGTGTTATGGGAAAATTTTGCTAGACTACCCCATAGTTTGCAATCAAACTTCAATGGTAACTGCTTCACTCATTTGAAGACTCATTGCCAAATGTGTTGCAAGATTTGGAGAAACAATGAATTGTGGTGCTACCCTATGTGTCTTTACGCAATGCTGAATATCAAATTCATATCAATAATGTATTATTGGTAGTAGGAACACACCATGACTGAAGCTGACTTTCTAGGTGAGTTTAGCTAGGAGTGCATAAAGTAGCAAATTCTTTGTTTGGGATGCTAAAGAGGCATTCTCGGGGGGTTGTGTGTTTGATGCCATGGTGCAAGGATACGGTTCATGATATGGATATAAGATTTGACAAAAAAATTATAAAAAAACAGTTTATGATGTATAGATATTGGGATTCGATCATCTCTTCATTTCTTAGAAGGCCAAAATTACGTTTTCCTTGTTCACCTGTGTGTGTAGTCAACTTAGAGGATACAGTTAAAGTCATGCACTGTTCACTCCCTGGTTCACCTCTGAAAAAACCACACCCCCAAAGCACTTAGTAAATCAAGACATGAATGCTACACAAGTCAGGATCCATGAATTGGTTATTGGTTGTCTAGAGTGGAGAGCATTAATTTGCTAACTTAAACAATTTATTTGTTAAAAGTGTGGTTCTGAACTTAAATTAGGTATGTTGAAAGTTCTCATAAAATTTATTTAACAGGAATGAATAGGTTAAATGCCAAATGACTTGGATTTTGTTGTTCTACAGGGTGTTACAGATGTTAATTTGTTTCATATGTTTCTTCTTGCAGTTTCGTACACACAAAGTTATCTACAGGCGATATGCTGGACTGTTTTTTTCACTTTGTGTTGATATTACAGATAATGAGCTAGCGTATTTGGAGGGAATCCACTTATTTGTTGAAATCCTCGATCACTTTTTCAGTAACGTCTGTGAACTAGATTTGGTCTTCAACTTCCATAAGGTACACAAAATTCCTGGTTTTGATATTTTTTGTTTTCTGATGGAAGCTTTTGCTTTTCTTTTTATCTACTCGTAGATTTTATGCTTCATCAATACCATGAAAATTGCAACATTTAACCTGGCATGTGGTTTTTAGGAATGTTTGACCTTCCGTAGTTTTTCTAAAGTTCCCTTCAACAATACGAGATAACCAAATTGATATTACCAAGTCCTTGAAAGATTACGAACCCTGTTCTAACCATGTTTGGAAAGTGCTGCCTGAGCCTAAGCATTGAAGCAAAGCAACCATTAAGGTTATTTCATTGTGACTGAAGGGTCATTGACCCAGCGGCTTCCAGATTACCAGTGGGTCCAACTTCCTAGAACGTAAATGGTTCAAACCTCATCAAAAGTGAGGAGTGTATGTGAGTATTTGCCTATATAAATATTATATAATAGAAAAGAAAAAAAGTCCATCCCTTTGTGAATGGAAGGTGCCAGTTTTGAGTTGTTGAAACAGTCATAGGCGTAAAAGGCAAAGAGCCTTGGTGTATTAGGGTGGCCCTTTAAATCCAACCAACTTTTTGGTTAGAAGCATTTACCATGTAGGCTGTTCTGATAGCAACCTTTTATCATGATCCCATAACTATCCTAACACAAATTAATGGCAACATATTTGTACCTTGAGAAAGATAGGTGGGTACTTTTAGCAGTCTCTGCTTTTACTGTTGGTTTTTTCACTTTATTTTTGTGAATTGTGAAAAAGGTGTATCTGATATTAGACGAGTTCATTCTTGCTGGGGAATTCCAAGAAACAAGCAAGAAGGTACATCTATCTTCTTCTTTCTGATATCTATACATTTTTTTTCCGTAAAGATATCATAATCCCATTAACTAAGCTATCATTTGATACTAGATAGATAGATAGATATATGTTGCTCATAGTTTCGTAATGTTACTTGATGTTTCAATCTATAGGCAATCATAGAGAGGATGGGGGAGTTGGAAAAGCAGGAGTGAGATGCATGGTGCTATTTCTAGAAATCAAGTACAATTTCTGTTTGGTCTTCTTCAGCTCTCTGAACATTTTGTGTATGAAAGTTCCATTTCCATGATTCATGCTTGATCGAACACCATTTTCTTTCAACGGATTTCATTCGTGATTATTGTATATGAAATACGGTATACCAAGACTTCCCCTAAAAAGAGGATTCAGTGACTACATTACATTTACTGTTCTAGGGTGTTAAATATGAACTTGGTGACTTTCATTGCACAAGGTAAGGTATATGAATTGTCATTTTCATGTCTAAAGCTTATTACAAAGTTAACTTGAGCATGGAAAATAGACCCCCTTTTTCATCTTATTTTAGAACAATCCTCTAATTGCATTTTCCGTTTGTCGGATGCCAATAGCGACATAGAAATACATGGTCTTTGTTGTTCCGTGTTGGAAGCATGCCCGGATCCTAGTGCTTGTAGCAATGAACCTTGTGTGTGCTTGGAACCCAAAACAGGTGCCATTCTGCGTGTCTTTGGTTTTGTCAAGAATACAAATTATTAACTATCAAGTGTTAAAGCTAAATTTGAGTGAATCTTACTAATTAATATAATTTCATAAATGGAGAACGGTGGAGGATCCAATCGGTGGATCTCAACTCTCATGCGACCAACAGGTACTAATTTGTATCATATTCTTCCCTTTTTATTCACATCTGTACTTCCACTCCACCCAAATATTAAAGAAATCAAATTCATTTCTATTTATTTGTTTGGAAGAAAAAAGAAGTAAGCACGGTTTGGTTTGGTTTGCGGAATTCGAAGGAATTTATGGAATTGGAATTACAAATTTCTTTGACCAAATTCAAATTCCAATTTCAATTCCTTTGTTTGGTTCATTTCTTGAAATTGATGGAATCCTTTAAATTTCATTGAGTTCCACAAATTAATGAATTTAACATTCCTTGACGTAATGGAAAGAATTGAATAATCACAAAATTGTCACGGTGCAACTTTAGACCATTATATCAATAACTTATAAAGTTGATCGACGAACATAAATTGGTCTTACGGGTCTCACAAAAAACCATTACTCTCACGTGAATCCAACCCTATATATAATATATATATATATATATATATATATATATATATATATATATATATATTCAATTGACTTTATTTTTAGTAACAGTGGGTTTCGAAACCAGTTTACATACACCAATTAATCCCTCAGACGACCACGAATGACCTGGAGCAATTAAACCTTCATGGTCAAAAGGGCTTTGGTAGTGTCTTGATTCGAACCTTGGGTGGATGAGATATTCCACTACATCTCCCTAAGCTTTACCATAGATAAACAATTTAATTTATATAACATCTAAAAGTTATACACACACACACACATAGATCGGGTTTTTAGACGGGTCGGGTAGAAATCGTGGTCAATATTTTTCCATCCGCCTCAGGGTAAACCACCGCCTCTCAGGTCCCACGACTGATTATACCGAAAAAACCTGCTAGTGGAAGAAAACCTCCTAGGGATAAGAGACATAAGGCTAAAGAGAGAGCCAAAAAAATATCTTTCGTGCATAATTCTGCCCTTCATTCAGGGGTTCAAGGAYCGGTATCGAGATAGCAGTTCGAGAAATCCCTGACTTGCTTTCAGGTATCGAACACTAAATATCAAAGAATTGAGGTGGCCAAACCAAAAATCAAACCTAATCCAAACCCAAATATCTCCTTTCGGATTTCAAGACATTCGGATTTTGCACAAACATCTCATTTTTTGTTCGGGTTTTCAGACCACTCGGTTTTGCACACCCTTACATCTACACCAAGTGATATTATTAGCCTACAACCTACAAATGCAACCACCCTTCCTTCATAGCTTTAAACCACAAGTGAAACCTTTTCGTCTCTTTTTCGATAAAATGTTTTGGTTTATGTATACAATTATCTGCTTTTAAGATTGATCATGAGATGGATAAAATTATTGGTTTATAAGAAAATCTCTTAACAATGACAATCAACTTAAAATATGAGATATCAAACATTTATTCTTCAAATAACAATTACGACCTTTTTATATTGAAAAAACGCAACCACAATATCCACTTCATACTTTTAAGAATCTATAACTATTACATTTTTTAAACTAGAAAGATATTCGCGTAATGCAGCGAGATACATTTTGACTTTAATATTTCATTTTATTCTTTATCTCAGTCGATGTTATAATATGGTCTTATATGATTTTGAAAAAACGATGATGTTTTTATTTTTAATAAAATATAAATTTGAAGATATCATAAAATTTTGACAAAAATATATCGATATTAGTATCAAATTAACTATTTAAAATTCCTTATTTTTTTATTTTTAATTCAATTTTTTTATTATAATTTATTTATGTTCAATAACGAAGTAATTTATATTTGGTTTAATAATATAATTTTCTTATAAAGATAATATTTAATTATTTTGTTAGAACTCGATACTTATCCTAATTATATTTTAGATTTTTTATATTTTAAAATGATATGTTTATCCTCTATTTGATTATGTTTATCCGCAGTTAGTTACACGAATTCAAAATGGAGCTTTAATAAGTTGTACTTGTACATAATTTACTTGTAATCTGAAATTTTAAGTAATATGCATCAATGTACAGTACTTCATGCATAAAAAATAGTTTTTAAGAGTTTTTGTCAAATGCTTTATAATATAGTATAGATTAAGTATATGACAGTTTTATTTTTAACAATGGAGATAATTTTTATCCATCTTATAATTAAGATTAAAACGAGAAAGTAAACACATTTTTAAAAAAGTGCAAACTTATTTTAGAACAAACTAAAATATAAATATAGAAACTTATTTAAGAAGTCGATTCAAATAACATCAAGAATGCGTCCTCGCACCTCTTGTAACACCCACATTCTTGTCTTAAAATACGTACATCTCATACTTTCCACATGTTCCATACATTCTAGAAACTTCTTAACAAATTAAGTCTCATAAAATGTTCGTCTTACAAAAACAGTTATAAATTTTGGTTCAATTTGACATAACCAACCCAAACATGCAAGATTACGTCATTGATAACCCATGTATGTTTGTGATAGCAACATCCTCGTTAGACATATTTTTGGAGAAAAAAATGGAACTAACGGGTAAAATCGGAAGAAAATCAAATCCAAGCACAAAACTAAAAACCGTATATTGAAATGAATATGTATATATACACACACACATAGTATATAGTATATCGGAAAATAATTGCAATAAAACTTTACATAATGAATTACCAAAATATCCTTGGCCTGGTTTGTATGAATCGAAAACAAAACAAATCTCCCCAATAAACGTAAAAGTAGGGGAAAGCTTAAAAAAACCAATATCCTTGGCCTGGTTTGTATGAGTCGAGGGTTCTAGTTTTTGCCGCTTTAATTTGGGGTAACTAACATCAAACTAAATCACCAAAAACACCAAAAGCTTAATTGTATCTTCTTTTTACAATAGATCCAGATATCACCAAAAATGCAGCACAAATTCCTGCATAAAACACCATACTACAATTGCATGTAACATTACATTAAAATAATCATAATAATAAACAATTAATATCATACGATTTGATCATGGTACATTAATAGATGGAGACACATTTAACTAATGATGATTTTCTAGCATTGTAGTTTGAGCCGATCGAGCTGATATATATGAGCTCGGCTCCTATGATAATAATGTTGGTAGGGTAGGTGCTCGGTCAACACATTCAATTAGATCAGTCTCTAGGTAAACATGTTGGTGTTGACCGAGTCAACTGAACCAACCAAATTAGACAAATGGGCTTAAAGATACATATTATGAAACTTGTATCGGCTCCAACTCGTTTAAAGATACATATACATTTGTATTTATCTATTTTCCGTTCGTTTTATAGGTACCCAATGGGACCTGCAATCACATTGCATGAACATAAACTGAAAATGTTAAAGATGCATGCATTCAGTGAAGCAAAAAAGAGAAAGATACCACTTGCTATGTCCACTATATATGATGGGTTGAATTCTTTGTTTACATGATTGGCAAAGTCACACTACTCCTGAAGGGAGACGTAGAACTAGCCGTCCACCCACAACACTGCAACAAAAACAACTTCCATCTTAATTTTTCATTTTCGACGTTGTTGACGAGTTCAGATCACAGAAAGAGGAAATCGAACCTTTGAACATAATAATAGCAGAAGTCAGCAAGTATAAATGTTTGAACAATTTCAGAAAGAAGGACCAGTGAAGGCCACATTCCATAACCTAAAGCTGTCAAGAGGCGACCCCTGGTATCTATAACCTGTATGAGAGGAGCCACAGAGTCATTATGGTTCTATATATAAAGCGATCATAACTAAGAAAAGACTGCCATGATCAAACTGATCCAAGGATAACCCCAAATTCACAGCTTAATTGCCTACAAACAGATAATTATATAAATTTTATTTTGTAAAATCCAAAAGAATAATTTGTGTGACCTAAAATGACATTAAGGGGTAGTTTACCAAACACTTGCCAGGTCATTTACCTTACTAGGTGAGTATAGCAAGGACTAAGAATCTTTACCCGGTAAGAGCGAAGGCAAGGATCAAGAGTCTTGCCCGGTAAGTGAGGATGGTGGGTCTTACTGAGTAAGCGGTTACCGAGTGATAAACACTTGCCATCAATCCATTTTGATGGCAGTGTGTGTTACCTGATGAGGTAACCAAGAGTGGTACACTCCATGTTGGTAAGCATGTAAGCATTTGTTAAACGGACTCTAATACTCTGACTTGAATTTCAAGGCCAGAGGCAACAAGATGCTCTTTATAACTAACTAGGTTAGTATTTTTGACAATTAAAGATCAAAGGTAAAAACTCATTTTCAGTGATGAAGAGATTAATAAGAAAATACAAGATAACATTTAGCAACAGAAATTGCATGAGAATTAAGAGTATAAAGATGACAAAAGATTGAACCAGTTACAAACAAAATAAGAATTAAATAAGAGAGCCAACATATCAATAGTCCCTCAAATTGTTTTTTAAGACGTATGCATTTCTTATAGAATCATTTTCGATGATTGCTAATCAAATTTATGTAGTACAATTGACAGTTTCACAACCTCAAAATAACAAGTAAAAGAGATATTAGAAGTTGCTATCAGAGGCATGAGCAGCCAGTCAATGAAAACGAAAAGCCAGACTGCCAGAATGAAATTTTTAGAGATCATGATTTGTCATCCCCGTAAGAAATCTATCCCCATTATAGCCGTTATGTAACCTATATAAATGTTTCAATATTACTTCTTATTAGAGTTGGATCACCAATGCAGTGCTTATCTTTGGTTTGTTTTCTAATATCACCTTAGCACACCAAATTGCATAAGAAAGCTAAAAAAATGAAATATTCACATTGATGTCACTGTTTAGAAATACTTCTTGCAACATGCATATATAATCATTCTCCCAACTCCAAAATGTTTTAATGTTTCTCCAGTTTGTTACTTTTGAAGTGTGTATGTGGGTCTAATGGACTGGAAAACTAGTACATAAATAAGAGTAAAACATAAAAATCAGGACGGGATAGATAAATATCCTAATTAAAATCAAAGGTTGTACTTTCTAACTCTTATAAGATGGCTTAAGAAGAAGAATTGCAATTGACAGAGGTAAAATATGTATGGTGAGGTAAATTGGTGAAACATTTCTATTAGATGATAGATTGTTGACATAGAAAAGATGTCTGGACCGGTACTCTGTAAATAAGTTTCAAATACCTCAGACACAGTAGCTAAACCCAAGTAGTGTTGCTAAAGTTGTGAAAAGAGAGCAATTTAATTATATGTGTGTGACTGGCTAATTGTTTAGATGTCCAGATCCCAGTAAAAAAATTCTGAACACCTTTCTAATTTCAAGTTTGTCTCTTGACAAAAAGAAAAGAAAACCACTCTGAATTTAAATTACTATGTCCTTGGTTCTCCAAGTCAAATTTCAATATGAACCTGCTATTTCCAAGAATATGCCATTACACATGAGATAATTAATACAGATTAGAAACTAGTTTCATACTGGACATGTCACTACTCCTCAAAAAGATGTATGCTATTTCCCTCTGTTGATATCAAAGATTTAACGATGCCTTGACCAAGTGAGATATTAGACACTGTTTATGATGGCATATAGAAATCCAGATGTTGACTGTACATATACCTGGAGAATCCAATGTGCACAGCTCAGAAACCTTGCAACCCCTAAAGCGAAGACGTAATGTGCTGTGAATGGTTCAACAATCTAAATAATAATAAATTTAATGTTAGAAGATGACATATATAATATCAAATAGGTCAGATTCTGAATTGATAAAAATATGTTCAACTTGACCTTGGTATTTTGCATGACACGAAGTTGTGGGAGTACAGAAACAGATTCCAGATAAACACAAAAAGCCCAAATGATCTGATTTACGATGTAATGTTGTGTTGTTGGATGAACCACAAGAGACAATAAAGCACAAGGAATAACCTACATTTTAATCATGAAAGATAAGTTACTGAAATTTGAGAAAAGAATTGGTAAGTATTATTCTAGCTAGGTAATTTATTGACACAAGGCACTAATTTCAGAACAATATGATTCCGAATCAATATATCTCACCCCTTGCTCTTCACAAATGTACACCATATAATTAACTATAGTCTTACTATTCTTGTGATTTAATCAGAAATTTAATCTCTTGAAGAGCAGGTTCTCTATTGAACATTAAATTACATTTCCCAAGAGGCTAAGATGATGATGATGATAATTATGATGAACAATAATCATAATCATAATCATAATCGCACTCATGATATTGCCATCTAGATGCATCTCGAAAGGAAAAAGGAAATAAGGATAATAAAGAAAAAAGTACTTTAGAACGGATTAAGGGAGAATGGCCACATTTAAGGCAATATTAAACTTACATGTTAATAAGTTCTCTGTCAAATGAAAAAGTGGAGGTCAAGAAATTCTTTAGATTAGGCTATATATGAGAGAGCCATTGATTAAAGGCATCTGAAGCTGGCTTGCATGATCCAAGGTCATATCATCATTTCCGTTCATAACTATAGCTTACCTTATCATGATTATATAGTTAATAATCCAGAAGGCATCTTGATGGAAAAATAATCCAATAAAATTCATGAACTGATTTGTCAAGGATACACATTTATCAAGCATGTGGTTATCAACTTGATTTGTAAGTTATCATTACAGTTCATAACTGTAAGTTACCATATCATGACTATATAGTTGATAAATCTAGTGTATTCAACCATTAGGTACTTTGAAGTTAGCCTACTAACTTAATACATGGTATGCATGTATACAGCCTGCAAGAATCTATAAATACCACAATTAGAACATGTATGCAACCCCAGAAAGTAAAGAAGACTCTAGAATGACCCAGAAGCTCACCACATACAAAACTGAAACGTTGTCTTTCTCGTGCATGTAACTGGAATTCAAATTAAAACGCATCATATAGATAACCCAAACGGTCGTTGTCAATGTAGCTAAGTCGAGTAAAGTGTGTACATCATATTCCATAACATAACTGCAGTACAGTCTAGCGCCTAAGAATATAGCTGTCAGTTCCTGTGATTTGAGTGAAAGACCTGTTAAGAGCCACCATTTCAGAATATTAACAGAAAATTATAAAGGGAATAAGCCACTGCCTGCATAAACTGAGAAACTTTAAACAGGAGCACCAATAGTAGCTACTTCACTCAAAAAGGAGTTACAGTTTGACCCAGAATTCTTCAAAATTGAGATGGATTTCCTAAATGGTTTCAAGATAACATTGACATCTATATCAAGATTAAAAGAAGAGTACAAACGAGAAAATATTAAAGGTTGAATTTATAACCAACTATACCAATTTTGAGCATGGAAAAACTACGCCTGGCCTCATAGGTCAAAATGACAACTGCTAAGGAGAGAGAGAGAGAGCGAGAGGGAGATGCAACTACACCAGATCAATTTGCATATTTAAAACTGGTTTGGATCTTTTAAAAGGTTTTCATACTTCATCACGATACACAAACAAAAGAAAAGTATATGATAAAATCCATATCAGTTTTTCTTTTAAAATGTATTTGACTTGACCTCGAAAGTCAAGGTGCGAAAGGAACATATTACAATTAGGTATAAATTTCTATCCAGCCCTCATCACCAGGTGGTCCAGGTCCAATAGACGTTAGGTTCTTTGGCAATGCCTGGATCACTATCTTCCTAGTAGTGGTGATGTTTCCTATTTAGGCTTCCCTTTTTCCTTTTATTGAGCATAATGATTAAAAACAGACTAGGGAGTGCAAATAATGCAGATATGGGAAATATAGGATAAATATGTATGTTAATACATTGCTCGTTGGCTTGCCTTCTAAATCTAGTAATTCTCACTTTGATTACTGATACAAACACATTTTATGAAAACCATATTTTATATATATCTGAGCCAATGTCTCTTGGTATAATTGTAGTCGACCAAATTGATCACAACACAACAGCTCCATTGCCAATACCATCGACTGTCACCTCTAAACAGACAGATCCAGTGTAACCTGGCATCTTTGTTGATGAAACAGAAAAGCAGAGTCGATTGATCATTGCTCACTAATCATAATTCATATCACAGTTGCATCACCTTAATGTTGTAGACATCATTGATCATTTCAATCAGGGTTGTTGTGTCAAACTGTTGTAGGGCGGAAACCTAGTCAAAGACCTGTGACATTAACAACTTTCATCTAAGGTAGCATGCTATAGGTCATAGTCATTTATTGACTCTTCCGTCTGAGGCATACGGACATTCCTCACACATCTATAAGATAAGAGGGACATCACCATAGTCCATAGAGCAGGATGCTCTCATAGTCGTCGTCGTGGTTGTATCTACCTGCAAAGGAGAAAGTAGTAGCAGGTAGCATCCATGCCTCTTTAATGTTTTCCGCGGTTGAAATCTCTCCCTGTAAGGTTCTGATTGGTCAATAGCTTTTGTTGATTAATTATTTGTCTCTGGTATTCTCTCCCTTCACTGTCTTAGTTTATTTGGTTTTATTTCTATAGTGGCCATGGAGGGTAAAGGAAATGAAGGAACTAGTAGCTTGTCCAGTAGCTCTAGTACAAATATGCAATTGTAGACAATTAAAATTACAACGATAACTGGATTTAGATGTCAACTTTTGTGTGTGACCACTTGCATAACAGATCCCTTGGTAATCTGACTATTCTCCTATACTATAACATTTGATTGAAAGGCTATTGCCAGTGATATATGTGTACTCTTTGGAGCCAAGATTGTAATACTTGACACAGGACAACATAATTACGAAGCTATGATCCTACCATTTGATGATATTTCATTTTTGCTACAGTTTCATTGAGCTTGTGTCTTATTTTTCTTATTGAAAATTCGTTCTCCTACACCTATTACATTTGATTGAAAGGCTATTGCCAGTGATATATGTGTACTCTTTTGGGACCAAGAACGTGATACTTGACACAAGACAACATACTTACAAATAAAAGTTGTTTTAGCCACAGGGGAAAAGGTCTCCCCATAATCAATATCAATAGCCTTTTTGGCAACTAGTCTGGCCTTCAAATGATGAAGGGAATTGTCAAGATGAAGCTTCAAAGAGAACACCCACTTACATCTGGCAGAACACTTGCCTGGGGTAAGAGGTTTCAAGACGCGAGTGTAACATGGAAGAGCGTATGTGGCAAAAGAAATAGGATCAACAGGGGTCACCAATATCAAGGCACTCAGCGAAAGGAGCATGAACATTATGACACTTGCATTGCTCAACCTAAACCTATGTGACATGGCAAAAAAGTATCTAGCCTGAAATGAATTTCAATGAAGGAAGCACGCAGAATGAATTTCAATATGAAAAAGAAGCACGAACTCAATGAAACCATCAGCAAAAATGAAATATCACCAAATGGTGGGACCACAGCGCCTACATCCTTTTGTATCGAAAGATTGACAACAAGGTGCATTTTAAGGATGTCGGTTCAAGTTTAGTACATTAGGCAATGATCAAGTCAATAACAACAGCAAAACATTTTGAGAGGTATGTGAAAGGTTGGGCCAAAAGGGTAAAGGATAATAAAAGGAATTCTCTAATCCAAGACAAAGAAGAGATGTCATTTATCAAAAGTTAGCTGTTAAAACCGCATCCCCCCAAAAGTAATAGAACCTAATGATGTATCAACAGTGTGAGTGCCACATCAAGTCTTGTGCTATGATTGTTGTTGACCCTTCCCTAACCCTCTTACCATAAAAAAATTCAACGTCTACTGCTCAGCAACTCGTAGATATTCTAATCAAACCGTAGTACCGGACTGAAACAGATTTCATTGCAACAAGTTGGGCATGATTGACATATACGCTCCAATTTTAGGATATATATTAGTCTCCTATTATCGTCATTATCCCTGTTATTTCCATTGTCTGCATTAAGCTATTTCATAGCTTTAGAAAAAACTTCAGGATCCACTGAATTCCATAATGCCATACTGATGGCACAGTCATCATGACTTTCCATTATCTGGTGATCAGGTTTGGAAGGTCCCAAGTCAGATAATGTTCTTTCCATATACTTTCCAGCCTGACCTGGACAAATATGGGCCATTGGATCCAATTCAGATCACTCAACTTAATAGGAATTGGGATCAACATCATGTAGCAGACAAGTTTCTTGATGAAACACATTCATCTGAAGCCAGGAACCAGATACAGAACTTGTTCATGTAGACGGTTTTCATATGGGGATGATTGTTGTCGGGCAGACCAGATGGTGGCAACGAGAACCACTACGGGTAACAAAGTCGTTGGTGGCATGGACGAAGCAAATGGAGGTAGGCTTGCTTACCCAGGGATGTCAGATAATGGTGGCAGCATGGCTTCTGTTGAAGCCTATTTATGTTAGAGCTAGGAATTATAAAATTAAGCTAGTCACAACTGTAGCTATGATACCATATGAATTTTAAGGGTTGTAGTTTGATGTCTATTATTCCCCACAGGAAACATACAGGGCACATGATGTACCTTCAGGAAGGACTAGGATAATGTAGTAACAAATGAATAAGCATACTTAATGCACACAATGGGATACCATACTAGCAAGGAGTATACTTATAGTTTAGCTCTGCCTAAGAAGGTTCTTAATCCTGTACAATTTCCATAAGGCCAAGGTCTCAACCAACAATAGAACTCCAGTAGACCTAACATCAATCAAGCAAGTAGAGGAGAGTGATGTATAGCCGTTCCAAGGTACATTTTTATATTCTCATAAGCACAAATTCTCTCATATTCTCTGGGCTATTAGTCACCCTCAGGTATTGAAGCCCCAATCTCAGGGAGCCTGTTGGGATAATCATCTCTTTCCAGCACTTCGAGACCATTAACTTTCTGTTAAAAATTAATTTGACCACCTCCTCAACGACCTCCAGGAACATTATCCAAGACGTATCAATGTCATATACATTTGAGATTCTACCGTATCACCTTAATGATTCCACGGTATCTGTATCACCATGTTGAATCTAGGTTGTTCAGTTTATGTACAAAATTTAACCACGTTTTGTTTCTATTTCCTGGTGTTTAGTGCATATGTGTAGAACCTCTTCTACAGATTCCTGGTCAAACGACCAATCGAGGATTTCGTCTCAATCTTCCGATAATAAGTCACAAAAAAATAAACCAACAAGCAACAGGATGGACTATTCCTATGAATCGATCATTTTGATTTTTGAAGAGAGGTTGTAAAATAAATGAAAAAATATATTAAAAAACGGTATACCTACGGTGATAGTATAAGAAATTACCGGCGCAGGTTTTCTCGGTGGCAAGTTTATAAATAAGCACAGAAATTCCGACAGCATGGACGGCCTCGGCGGCGATGAAGAGGTTATCGTGATCGTAAACCACCATACGAATAACAACGAGAGCGGCAATGGCGGATACCACGGCCAGGAACACCTTGACTCTGGGCGGTTGCCGACGTAGCCATGACCGCAACGCCTGGATCGGCCTCCTCATCGTGCCCTTCATTCTGTGTATCTACGGAATTCTGTAAAAGGTGGCATAAAGATGAGCGCCTGCGTACCGCGCAGATTACAAAATGCGCGGTGAACAAAACCAAATTACATGAGGCCAATAAATGGTTTTCTTTTAGCCAAAAGGTTTGTTCCAAATATGGTTTTGAATTTTGACTAAACTACATTTTTGGTCCCTGTTGTTTACATAAAGTTATGAACCAAGCCCTTAAAATTTAATAGTTACGGAAATGGTCACTATAGTTTTTTGTGTTTGCTATGTAAGTAGAACACTCTTAGTCGAAACACACTTAGCTCAGAAACATTCTACTTCTTTTATCCATTTTCTTGAGTTACAAAAATTATTATTATTATATTTTTATGCACACATCGACACCCAACAACGAGACCCACATCTCACTCTCGTAGCAATCTACGACAACCACTTGCAATTCCGATCAATGTAGATATCCACCTCCATCTTCGGCCACCCTCCCCCAACATCATTGCCACCGTCGCTCACATCCCTAATGGTTTCCCTCCCAACATCATCGCCTATATCACACCTACCCAACTTCATTGAGTTCACTGTACATCCATGGTTTATTGAAGGGAGATATAGACTGTCCCTCGAGTTGTCATCCACTTTTAATTTTGATTTTCACAGTAGTTTTTGTTGTTCGTTTGTGATTTAAATTATTGTTTCCCCTCATACGATAGAAATGGCTTTCCACACAATGAAAATGATGAATGGCCACAATTATTGGAATGTACTTTCTATATTTCTTCAAGTGTATGCAAGTGCTTAATATATGAGATCTAATATATTACAATTTATAAGTACTCATTTTCTGGATGCAGGCTCATTTAGCAACTTGGGAAGAACCATATAATCAAGCTCTTTTTATGGGTGGTGTTGTTGGGTTGTGATACATTTCGATAACAAAAATATTAACAGCAAAAGCAAACAAAATCAAAAGTTTCTATCACAACAAAAGTTAATTGTATAAGATTGTAACCATATCTCTATTAAAGACTTGCTAAGTGATACAATTATCAATAGAGTATAACACTATAGCTTCCTTAAAAGTTAAGGATTCAAACTTTGTTAAAAATAAAAGAAATGTCGACGAATGTTTAAGTTATATATAAATATTAGTAAATTATGATTTTGTATATATAATTTGTGAAAAATTGTGATTTTTGTCTCTGTAATTTTGAAATTTTGATTTTTGTTTTCATGTTTTATAATTTATTGTTACTTTAGATCCTAAGATTAAATCCATTAAAAATCTTCCATTTAGCTTAGAGGGATTTTAGTCTTTTTGAATTTTTTTTTTCTTTTTGAATTATTAAATATCTTTTTTGGTATTTTAGTCTTTTTGATTTAATCGAACTATATATTGTTTGATAAAATAATTAATACATAAGAAATATATTATTTTTTTATTGTATATGATAAAATAATTAAATATTGTTCATACAATTTATTGTTTTATATTTTTGGTTATTATCGTTATAATTTCTTGTATTAGTTCGATTTCTGTCACTAACGTCATTCGAGTGCAAGTCGTTTAGTACCACTCACATGCTAATATTTTTATTTTTTCTTTAATAAGGACGAAACGGTTAAATTTTTTGTAGGACCAAACAATTAACAATATTAAACTATTTTTACCAAATAAATGTATGTGATTTTATTAATAGAATGTGCTTGGGTAAAAATTCGTAACTTCAACATACGAGAATAATATCATCGGCACCAAGTGATCGTCGATATCCTCGACGATGATGATATCTCCGACATACGACCATCGATAGTCAAATATATTAGATAAATTATCTTCGACTAACATTGATATTTGTTTATCTTCTATGAATGTTATCTTTACCAATCATTGCAGATATTGGAGATTTATGATTAAGATTTATCTTACTAAAACACCTGAAGTAACTAACGGTCAACATTCAATGGAATCATCAAGACATAACCGTTATCCTCATAAACATCATTAAAAGATAATCGTTACAACCGTTGCCTAAACCACCTATAAAAAGGTCCAAGAGCACAATACAACTACATTTGCAAGTTGCAATACTAAGGATCATCTTACGATGAACAGGCTGCAAGACCACTTGAGAGATATTTCATTGTGGAAGTCACTGTTTACTTTCATATGATACGACCTGTTTATCCACGATCTACAGTGCATCGACAACATCTCTGATCGTCCCCCTTTTTTTTACTCTTGACGGGGTTCTTCATGTCACCAAAATTTATTGTCTTATTTGTTATTTTTCATTGTTCGTCTTGTTTATTTCAAAATTTTTACCTATAGTTGATTAGTTTTGCATTCCAACCCTTGAATTACATTTAGTGTAATTTTTTACACAAAACAAAACATATAATTTTATCAACTTATTGTAACACATTTATATAAGACGTACATTTGTTTGGTATAACTGAATGTTTGTTAGACCAAACAATTGCACCTTTAAAAAAAAAACTACATACATTTATTTAGTAAAAATAACCTAAAAATAGTTAATTGTCTAGTCCTATATGAAATTTAATATTTTGGTCTATAATGAAGAAAAAAGAATTAAAGTACTCTTATGTGATTGGTACTCAATGACCTGCATATGAACGGTGTTAGTCGCATAAGCCATAAATCAAACTCATAAATTAAAACTATGATGATAAAAAAATATAAAAGAACTAGTTGTATTAAAAATATTTTAATTATTTATCATAAACAATAACAAAATAATATAACACTTTATCTATTAATTTTTTTTTTTATCAAAAGATATATAGTTTTATTAAATCAAAAATATCAAAAAGTAAACCAAAAATATTTAATAAACAAAAAAAAGACTTAAATACCCTAAGTTAATGGAGACGTTTTAACATATTTAATCGTATGAATAAAAATAATGATAAATTACAAATCATATGGACGAAAATCATAATGTTTCTCGAACCATATGAACGAAAATCGAGGTTTACTCTAAATACTATATATTTTAATATAATATACAAAATGAACATTATATAATTTAAAATTAATGGTTCCATTCTTTCTGTGGACTGTGGAGCACATGATGCAAATACTAATTGGGCCGTGGTCTATTTAACATCTTCTGCTTAGCCCATATTCCAAACTGCAACGAAACGAATACCCTCCCTCCATTTCCCCCTTTGTGCTCCCAAAAATTCCTTCCTTCGAACTCTCAAAACCCTCGTGTCTCCTCTCAATTCTGTATCACCACACAAAAATGTCTTCTGAAGATGCAAAACGTGTGAAGAATGAGGTAGACGAGGATGATAATGATGATAAATCTCTCAGTTCAATGATTCAAAACAAGAACAAAAAACCCAACGGCAGCACTCCTTCAACGGCCAAATCACTTTCTCTCAAGTCAAAGAAAGTAGCATCTAAGCTCAAGAAAGACGAAGACTCTGATGATGGTTTTACACCCAAGAAAATCACACTCAACAATAACAAGGCCAAGAAAGAGGGAATTGGAAGTGCTGAAACGGTTGATTTTCTGCAGATATTTTTAAAATTTCTTCTGTGGGTTTTGTTTGTGTGTTGGTTTAGATGATGGGTGTGGTTTTATTTGCTCAATGTTTTGATTTTCTGATGCAGAAGAAAACACCCATTAGTAAGGTGAAGAAGGAGGAAGCTGGAAGTGCTAATACGGTTTTGTGATACATTTTTAGTTTCAAGATTTTTCTTGATGTTTTGTTTGTGGATTAGGGTTTTTGTTTTCAAACTTCTTTTCTGCATGCAGAAGAAGACACCCAACAATGAGGCCAAGAAGGAGAAAACTAGCAATTCTGATAAGGTTTGTGATACAAAGCCTTATACTTTTTCCCACATTTCGGTACATTTTGAAAATTTTAAAGTGCAATTACAAACCAAAACATTTAAACTGAATTATGAAGCCGTTTAATTTTTTGTATTCTAATTCGTAGTTCTTTCTAGTTTCAAGATAGGGTTTAGGGTTTATTGTAATTCACAATATGATCTACAATTGCCAAGATGTACCTTTAATGGACACCAATCCATAGCCACCAGATGCTTCAGATCATTTGCAGCAATTTAAGTCTATTGGTGATAGGAAAACCAATGGCCATAATTGATTAAATTTTTGCTCTGCAGTCAATGATCTTTAAAGTTAATGGACACTCCGATTGTTGTGTGCACCATTGTCCTTGATTAGTCTATTGAACATCTGTAAATGAGTTCAACGACATGTATAACAGCCAAAAAAGCAGCATCTTTTTGGGTAATGTTTATCTTCTTTAGATGATTAATGTGGCATATTTTGAATTAAGAAAAAAGGGGGGAAAATAACTGAGCAAAATGGGAAGACGAAAGAAGAAAAGAGAAAGGGTGGCAAAGTAGAACCAAGTGCTGTTAAAGAGAAGAAAGAAAAGAAGGTGTATGATTTACCGGGTCAAAAGCGTGATCCTCCAGAAGAGGTATGTTTGGCCCTTTTCATTCAAGTGGTAGAAACAATATATGTGTGAAGGCTTTTTTTGGACCTTGGATTTAAGTGAATCTAGAATGAATCTAAACTTGCATAGACCTACCCAAACGGACCTAAATGGAGCCATTTATGGGGCTCATTTACATCATTTCTGGTCCATTTAGGCTGTTTAAATTTTAAAGTCGAATGTTTCTTTAGGTCCTGTTGTTTATGGTGGAAACTAACGAGTGCTTTTTTATTTTGAATCTTTCAGAGAGACCCGTTAAGGATTTTCTATGAATCCTTGTACAAGCAAATACCAGCTAGCGAAATGGCTGCGATTTGGTAAGGATTGCACGTTGCATTTTGCTTTCTAATTACTTCTTCCTACCCATAATTGCAATACTCATACATTTTTTTCTTGGAAAATTTCAACTTAAAGTTACTTCTTTGCTCATCGTCATAATACATAATATTGCTTTTGATCCACATGATCTATCTGGCTTGTCTCTATTTGAGGGTCTTTAGGGCATTTGACAAACAGTCAAATACTTCTAATAAACTACATGATTGTCTCTGAATAAACTACATGATTGTCTCTGAATCTTTTACAAATAAAACCCTTGTTTTTGCTTGAAATTCTTCAGGATGCTTTAAAGGATCTAAAGTGTCTCGAGTTGTTTTACTTGGGGTTACTGATCAACCACAGACACTTCTCAACTATTTTTTGAATTTTTATGGGTTCCATTTATGTAGCATGCTTGTTTCACAGTGCGTTATGTCTAGTTGATGCAAGGGGACCAACAAAACGGGAACACGTGAAAGTTGATATAAACGAATCAAACCTCATGCTTGAGGCTTTTTCAGAACCTTGAAATGATCTTTTGGTTGTATTAAATATGCATCAAATCACACATCCATTCATGTTTTGATCTATTTCTCTTCATGGTCTGCATCTAAAATAGTGAAAAACTATATGGTGTAAAGATTTATAACATGTTGATCAATCAGAACCTTGAAAGGATGTTGATCTATTTTTGTTTCTAGAACGTTGTTTTGCGACTTTCTTTTGAATCTAGATAAAATAATCGTATCTGTGATGCTTAAAATTTGTTTCTTCTCCTAGCTAGAACCCACCAAAAAGATTAGGAACAATGTAGTCGATCTCATACGTTGTTTAAAAGTACGAATTTAAATTTAAGCCATTTCACTTGACTAGAAATTTGCCTCTTTTCTTCTAGTTTCCAGATTTCTTGATTGCAGTCATAAGTTTACTAGTCCGAAATGTGTTTGCAGGATGATGGAATCAGGGTTGCTTCCGAGGGATGTGGCAAAGAAATTATTCGAGGCAAAAAGGAAGAAAGCCCAACAGCAAAAACTTGGTTCGCCAATGAAAACAGTAGTCAACGTGAAGAAGAAAAGCGATTCATCTGTTTCGATCAAGAAAAAGACTGTTTCCACAGAAAAGAAGAAAACGCCCCCATGTAAAGCTCCATCCATGCAATCAAAGAAAAGAAAGATTGCAGACGACATTGATGAATCAAGCGAAGAATCTGATGATGATTTTGTTATACCTCGAACGATCAAGAAATCAAAAGCGGCTTGATTAGGGTTCCATATCTTGGTTAAGTTGGAACATAGTTTAGTTTGTATCTGCTGACACTCTTCGATCTTGAACTTCTGGTTATACAGATTTGATGAACTCTTTTAGCTCTAACCGACGGGTTTTAGTTGGAAATGGGTTTTAGTCTCATCATAATAACCCCACATAATTAAACATGAATATAAACACAACATTTACATTTTAAAATCAAGCAACATGAAAGTATTTTTTGACACATTATGTTGAGTGTGTAAAAAATTACAAGACAAATATTTTTTTTTGTAAAATGACCAAAATACCCTTTATGCAACCAAAATAACGGTTACACTAACTACACTGTAGAGATGGCCAAAAAGTTGTCCCCAGCCGGGTCGGTTCCAATCGGTCCTAACCTTTCTCATAACCGGCCATAACCGGTCCCGACATGAAAGGTCCCACGAAACTACCAAAAACCTCAACCGGTCCCGGTTTTCGGTCTCGTAACCGGTCTTTACTGGTCCCGGGCCGGGCCGGGCCTTTGTCGGTCCCGGTCCCGGTCCTCCGGCAGTCCCAGGCCGGGCCGATTTGGCCATCTCTTCTAGACTACACCATCTCCTCCTCCTGCATCCAGCAGGCCAGTCCACCAATGGCCCAATAGGTAGCCCAAATGTTGGGCCAAAATTCTGGTTGCGTTGCGGGTCTGCTTTATCCATTCCAGAACATTTCTCAACCAAATTTCAACCCAACTAAGAAACACCATTGAACCAAAATGGCCCTTTATTAGGCCTATTTTTTTTTCTTTTTCTGCAAAATCAAACTGATAATATTATTTAGAGATTTATGCTAACGGAAAAAATATCGGATGAACATGACAAAATACTATGAATCATACCCGATAAGTAAGGGTGGTTATTTTTACACATTTCAACGGAATCTTTCAATTTCTTACTTATTAGATAAGAGACACTTGCCAACATATTGTTAATACCATTTTAATGGCAAAAAATCTTTCCCTGTAAAATAAGAGAAGATGGTAGTATTTCCCGACAAACACTTAGCCATTTAACTTTGATAAACAGCCCTTAGACTACTTACTGGCATATAATTTGTCAATTAATTATGTCTACATTTTTAATAAAACTTGGCGTAGTCCCACCAATTATTACAACTTATAACTAAATTCGGGACATTAGAACATCTCAAACAGTTATGCTATATTTTTTTTATAATAGAGTATGAAAAGACAATCTCTAAAAAAATTACATCCAACTTCAACAAGTACTCTATTTTAGCAATTATAACATTAATTTTATTAATAAAATATTCAATATATTTGATGAAATATTATTTCTTTTCTACACTTTTTACTTCAATAACTTTAATTGGTTGAATATAATTAAAATATTATTATCTCTCTCTTCTATAGAGTTTTAGAGATTTCTATAAGGGGTGTTTGAGATTGCTTATAAAAAACAACTTATTGACTTATTCCGGTATGACACCGGTAATAAACACTTTTGAGTGTTTGGATAAATAATTTATATCGGTGTCAAACCGGTAATAAAGAGTTTTTGAAAAAGTTAAACCCTTCTAACTTATAATAAGTTATTAAGTGATTTTGTATTATTAATTTTATTTCTATTCTTGAGGGTGTTACAAGATGTAATATGTTTTAATTTTCAATGGTATAAAATATATTAATAAATATTTATTATATCATATATATATATATATATATATATATATATATATACATGAAAAAATTAAATGAGAAACACAATCATAACAATCTCAAACGTTCAAGAGTTTCATACATTACTAACTTTATCATGTATAAAATGATAACTAATAACTGTATCAACATCTTTATTTTTTTATTATACTTTTTGTAAGTGTAAATCATCCATATCATCTATGTGGTATAAGAGTTCTTTTAGGTTTTCGTCACTAACAATTCATTTATTAGACAGAAAAAAGAACAAAATGGGATACATGTTTTGTTTTGATTTCATTCATCCCATAACTTCGTCCACATTGCCTCGGTTAAGCAGCATGATGTGTCCTGTACATGAAGGGCAAAATTGTCATTTCAGAATCCAAGGGGGTTTCACCTCAATTCTATTGTTGTCATATTCTTATGGCTCACTCTCACATTCCTTCTCGTCGACCTCTGCAACTTTATTTGCTCGCCACACTGTCTGCTCACCTTCCTCTTTGCCATCTACTGCAAGTCTTCCCCTTATGTTATCTTGCTAATGGAATTTTGGGGTCATATTCATAGTTGCAGAGTATGTTGGTGAATCTTGGTTGTCAAATAAAACAAATTTCTTGCAAATACAACCCAACTCATATATTTAATACCCTAGGGGCATTTTAGTGATTTCCAAAGTTTTAGATAAGTCAATTCGTGATCAAAATCCATAACATACATGCCATGTCTTAAATCACACTTTATTAATCAAATTGGTGTCCAAAATTGAATTTATAAAATTCAAAGGCTTGTTTGCACATAACCCATACTCGAAAAGAAAATAACAAATCCACATCACATGCAACACGCACGGGTCACGGGTCATCTTCTTCATCTGACTCGTGCCCATTACCCAATTCATAACCCACCTACATTAACCCAAGCTACAATTCCCGTCTTTGGTTTGAATTCATCTTAGATTCTTGTTACTTGTTTCTAAACCATGCTATACCACTGTTTTTGATAATTCAGGTCTACAAATACCCAACGAGTGGGTAAAAAAACCAAATGTTGCTTCATCGTCATTGAAGTCCATATCAAGTTTGATTCGCAATGGTTTGGATTCATTTTATTTTTCGTTGCATCTAATTCCTAGCACTTCCTAGTTCACAATTTCATTTACCATCCGGGATTAATCGGTACTAATATTACTAGAAATAATATCTCCAATTTCGTATAGGGTTTTTATGTTCATAACTATGTTATGTTATTTTAGAAATTTCTAAAACTAGAAAAATAATGTTTTGTTAAATTCTTCTCCAAATTCTAAAATAGAGAGAGAAAAACTTTAGATTAAGAAAAGAGAGAAAAAGAAATCATGAAGACCATAACCCACGACCCTTTCCATTCCAAATTATTGAGATTTGGCAAGACAGATCCCTCAACTTCTTGTCTTTCCATTTCCCCAAACCAATTAAAATTCCTGGTTTTATCATATTATTATTTATCATTTAACTAGCGGTTATTACAATATATTAATAATCATGATACATTTATTACGTAGTAATTACTATATATAGTTAATAATATATAAACAAATAATCGTATAAGAATAGGAGTTAATGTAAAAAATGATTTGAACATTTGATCACTTTTAATCTCATCTCATCCACTAAATTATGATTCTTATTGGAATTGATCCGGTACATCTCACTATTATTGATCTTCAATTGATTCAAGATTGAACTTCTTATATTTCTCACTATAACTTTCATTCTCACCGAAACTCAACTCCTTATATATAATCGTAAAATTTATCAATATATGTGTATTTCCTAGAATAAATGTGTTTATTTCCTAAAATACAAAACATGAGATCCTTGCATATATTGTGAGAACTATAAGTTCAAATCATATATACTAATAGTCAAATAGTATTTTAGAAATTATTTAATTTACATATAGTTATCAAATATATTCTAATCATAAGGGTTATCAAACATACTTTAAATTATAGTTAAATACTATTTTAGAAATTATCTAGTTTACAATTAAATTAATAATTTTGTAACCTCTCACTTTTATTTTTACGGTTTATTATAATTATCTTTTAACAATTTCTTGCTTATTTTTAACCATATTTTAAAAAAAAAGTATCTAATAAAAATGAAAAAAATATTTTTTAACCATATTTAAAAAACCCAGTCAAAACCATTTTGCGTGTTAAAAACTGCAAACCTATGGATCAAACATGAATGTGTTTAACGAAGAAGGGCTTGAAGAATATATATGTGATTTAATTGAGTTTAATCAAAGTGAATACTAGAATATGTAACAAGAAGAAGAATTTATGATTATAGTGTGAATCGATCCTAGAAATGCCATATTGGCAATGATTTACAATACGAAACAAAACACATCAACAATAATGTGGTATGTGATCACATTGCAAATCATCTTTCATAACCATCTTAGTAATGATTCACAATGTGAAACAATATACACCAACATTGATGTGGTAGGTGATCATAGTGTGAATTACACATGTTGATATACATGAATTCCGGTTTTCTTTTATCAATTATTCACATATCAATAATTTATTTCTACGTTTTTAATATTTTGTTTTTTTGTTTGTACATTCCTATATATATATTTATTAATACTTGATATATGTTTGTGTACATTAATATTGTTTTAATAGCGATAATATATTTATCATGTATAACATTCCAAAATAATTAAGTATCGACTACCACTGTATGGTTGTGAATGGTATGTTAAAGACTATTAAAATGAATCTATAATGAAATAAAAGATCGAGGGTGTGTACTAATTACATAAATAGTGAACTTAAGGGACCTATTTTGTCAAATAGCTAAATATTGAATGGGGCATGCGTTAAGAACCGTATTGAATAGGGGGTAGCACAATTGGTTGTATGATGGTATATGTTGGGTCAGCTATTGATTTGGTGATAACCTACTGATCTGTCATATATCTTATCATATTTAAGGGTTGTTTGTTTACCTCCTAATAGTTTCATTAAGAGGTAACCTCTAAATCATTAAGAGATGAATCTTGTGTGGCAAAAAAAGTCTCTCTTTTAATGGTTCTAAAACCCTCTAAATAATTTTGTATCATGGGTCTCCATTAACTATTAAGCGCCCTAATTTCATTGTAAACAATTACCAAACATTATATTTCATTTTGTACTATATCATGATAGCCTCTTAATCATTGTGACCACTTAATTATTCTGTACCAAACCATTCAGCAATTGCCAAACAACCCTTTAGTAGCTATTGGTTTCTTTGTATATTGGTTTCTCGGTACATACTTAAAGCCCTTGGCAAAATCGAAGACTATTTGATATGAAGATAGAAGGTCACACAAAGACTCCAAAGTAGCTGATTTGAAGATCAAAGATGTTTTGCAGCTACTAGCCGATTGAAGGAAGATCTTCATGCACCGAAATTTGTAAGTAGCTGTTTGAAGCTACTAATCCATCCAAAGAAGATATTCCTATAGACTGACCATATCTCTGCAAAACTTGTACTTGATAAAGACATTTCTTATTAGTAGGTTTGTCTCTACATGAACAGTGTTACGTGCACATAGAGTACGATGAAAATGATATATCAACTATGATTAAGTCAACTCATACCTTCTTATCATAAGATGACAAGTGTCCCCGTGCATTTAATGCATGAAGGTAGTATAAAAGGTAGAGTGCATCTCCCGTGCAAACTATGCTTCCCTGAAAGAATTTCTAAGTGCATTCTCAAGCAATCGACTTTCTTCTAATACTCTCCTACTTTCTTGTGCGTAAAGAAAATCTTAGGGGGCGTTTGGTTCGTAGAATGAAATTCGATGGAATTGAAATTCATCAAATGAATTTGACTTTGAAGGAATGGAATGGAATTTGATGGAATTTGACCATTCCTTGTGATTGCGTTTGGTTGCATAGAATTGGAATGAATTTGGATTAGGGAAGGAATTTGTCGGAAAGGAATTGAAATCCAAGGGTATTGCCATGGAATGTAAAATCCGTGAATGAAGGAATTTATTGGAATTGAAAGGATTCCATCATTTTTATTCCATGAACCAAACATTGTATTTGGAATTTGGTCAAAGGATTTGGCCATTCCAATTCCTTTCAATTCCATCCAAATCCATGAACCAAACAGCCCCTTAGTGTTCTTCATTTCCTTGCAAATACTCTATGTGTTGTTCTTGTAAGTTTTTGTGTAAGATTGTTTAGGTTAGGTTATCCTTTTATTCTTCCTCAACAATCTATATTGTATCTCTGTGTATTAATTCTTGATACTCGTGAATAAAAATTAAAAAGTTGAAAAAGTTTGAGTAATTGTATTCAACCCTCTTCCCCCTTCTACAATTATTTTTTGTTTATTGCCATCCCATTTGGAACCAACAATATACTTGCACATATATAAGATGGTTCAAGTCTTGTGAATTGTTCGATAATCACTTAATGAGTTACATGATGTGTATCAACAATTTAATAAGCAAAACATGATTATTTAGTTGTGGTTTATTCCGTTAGGAGAGTCTTATCCATCAAGCAAACCCTCTTCCCAATACCCTTGGAAGAAAGAAAAAGAACACATTCCTATTTTTTCCATTTCACCATCACCTTCACTCTTCTTTCTTCCTTCTTCCTTCATTGAATTGCTTCCCCCTCTTACATGAAATTGATATTTTCAAGTACTGAAGAAGAATTAAATTGTTGTAATTTTTAAGTAACTGTAAAAAGTAAGTGTAAAATGACATTTTAAATTAGTTAGATTGTTTATTCAACACAACAATTTAGTCTATTCCATACAAACAATTTAATTTATACAAACAACTCTATCCTTAAAACACTCGATGAAAAGACAATCAAACACCTTTTAGTATGGGAATTTCATTTCATATGGGATTGAGGTCTTAGTGGAGGAGTTACGGTTCCTTTGGTGATTGAGATCGTTGTGGGCCTTGGGCTCCTAATCCAATATCTAGCTAATCGTTATGTACCTGATTTGTTTCTTAAAGGTTGTTCTTACTGATTACAAACCCTTTTACACAAAAAGATAAAAACTTATTACAATATTATATATATATATATATATATATATATATTTACACAAAAAGATATAAACTTATTACAATATTATATGTATATATATATACACACACGTGTTCAAACGATATTAATGATTGTAATTAACACATAAAAAGATACGACATATATGTAAATAAAAAGATCTTCGGTTTAAAGAAAATACGAATATTCGACTTACTTTATAATTTAAAAAATATATATTAACCATTGATAAAATTTCTGAAAGATTTTCTAAATAAAAATAAAATAAAAACCTTATAAACCATAAATAACAATTGATGAATGTAAATTTGTTTAGAAATATATTGCTTTTTTATTAACTTGGATATCCAATCCATTATGCGAGTCGACTAATCTCATGACGACCACTTGCTTTGAAGATAGTTCGGAATCACCGCATTTGAACCTCCATGGCCACAAGGGGATTTTCATTTCTTCTTGAATTTGAACCTGAGACCTCTTGGTACTTTTGACCTTTAGAGTCAAGCTCAAACCAATCATACATCACCCTTATGGTTAAATTTTTTTTGTTTTTGTTATGAATAGAAATAATAAACAACAAATATTTCTTGTTTTGTTATGCATTCTAAAAGAAACATTATTACACTTCCCTTAACTCCACATATTACCTACTGTTAAGGTCATCAAATATTATAAATTTGTGGATGAAATCAAAATAAAATAAAATAAAATAAAATGATGGTAGTAGCAGATTGAAGGGATGTAAACAAGGGCACAAGATCTTTCCTTTGATGGTTCAAATATGATTGTAAAAGCTTCCATCCTAAACCCTAAGATGCCCCCCCATCTCTACCAGATGGACACGTGGCATCAGCCACTCTTCCCTTCCTTTTTTTTACCCAGATTTTCCCTTATTTTTTCTATCCTCCTCCTCTCCAAGCAACAGACAACTCATCTCTTTCTCTCTCTAATCTCTTCCTCCATTCTTCTTTCTCTCTAAATCTCGTCTCTCATTCACTTCAAATCTTTCTCATATGCAATTATTTGATTTCTTCATCTGGGTTTTCAATCTATTTCGCTGAAATTACGAGATTCATTCGTTTGCGGCAATGAAACAGAGTATAAGCGGCGGCGGAGGCTGGAGAATTCCCAAGGAAGATGAGGTTGAAGTGCTTGAAATTTTACTCACTCTACCCAAATTGATTGCGAAATCGGAGTTGCTCAGTCGTTACACCTTCACCTGGGGTCGGAAGAAGAAAAGATCTGTGTTGGTTTTGAAATCCGAATCGACTCCGTCAACTCACCAGCAAATCGATGACAATAGACCGGAGAAATTGACGGCGGCGGATGCTGATAAAAGTCCTTCAACACCACTTTGTTTCTTACCAAGTGGCAGTGGGAGCGATGGTGCTGATAAGCCTAAAGAACCCTCCTCTCTGAAGAAAAAATTCAAGAGAAAGGTACTGATTCCATCTACCCTTGATTGACTTTCTATCGACGATTTTGTTAGGGTTCTTGCAGATTTGATTTATGGGTCTTATTTTATACACAATTTTCACATCTGGGCTTGTCTTCAATTGTTTAAACTCTTTACATTTTCCGGATTCTTTTATTTATATCTCTATCTTCCCATGTTCTTGCTTCTTTGATATGCTTTTTAACTTGAACTTAGTTTCAGTTGATTTCTTGGATATTTGAATCGATTTATTTTCAATTTTGACATTTGGGTATTAAAGTTCCTCAGTTATTTAGATGGGATAACCTTTTATTTTGTGGAATTATTCATAATTTGGCTGTTGTGTTTGATTAGAAACTTGACATCTGGATTATCATCAATTTTTTTTTTTAATTTTCACATTTTTTTTCTTGAATTTCTTGATAATTTTCTTGTCCTTTTTATCCTTCGATTTACTTTATTCTTGATTTTGAATGTTTTCCCCCAAATTTTAAACAGGCAACAGATGATTTGTTGGAGAAATTCACTGGAATGCAACAGCAAAGAGAAATCCTCATACAGGTATCCAATGATCTCCTAGATGAGTTTTGACTTATTTTCTTTAAATTATTTTCTGATTATTTAATTAATTAAACAGAAAATAAGAGCAATGGAAACCCTCCGTCAAAAACTTGGTGCTCAAAATCTGGAGTTGAAAGCAAAAAGACAAGAGGTGATCTTGAATTACTGATCATGAAATTTCCCATTTGTTTTTGATTAAATTTATTTAATAAAGTTTTTTAAATTAATTTCAGATTAATTATTCAAAAAACATAGAAGATTTCCGACTATGGAATAATTCTATGAATATGAATCTTGATCAACAACATTATCATCAGCAAATTACCATGTTTGCCCCTCCACCACAACCACAGCAGCAGCAACATTGTCAACAATTGATGGTAGATCCCAACAATGGCAAACTGGTGGCAATGCCTTGCTCCAGCAGCAGTAACAATGGTGGTAGATTTGGCTTGTTCAATCAGATTGATTCACGTGTCAAGATTCACGGGGAGACTTTTGACTTCATGGCTTCTTCTCAGCCGTTGGATCAAAGTAAATACTTGGTAATGGATAATGATCTGAGGATCAGAACTGCAGCAGCTGCCAGGAAGAGGAGGATTATGAGGATGAAAGAGAACAAGAACTCTTTGATGGCCATGAAACTTTCAAGAGCGTGTAGGTGATGGTGGTTTTTGACTTCTGTTGGTCAACCTTGACGAGGGGTGGTTTGGTAATTTCATCAAAGATGTCTAAATTACTAGAAATTTTTGCCTATTTTTTTGGTTTAGGCTTGGGGTTATAATGGTCCATTGGTGAACTAGTTGAAATATTTTTAATCTAGCTTATGATTTAGATTCCTGAGATGTTCTATTAGGATTGAATTTTGGATCATAGCTTTTTGTTGATCGTAAAATTATAGGTTTGGATCACATGATTATATCAATGGAACATTTATTATATTTTACAGTTCAGATTATTGTAAAAACTTGGTATTTGAGATTTCCTTCGGGGAATGAGGAGTTCGGTCATAGCAACGGCTCACGACATCCAAAGGTCTAGACCTTTTTTTGTCGGTTGAAATTCTAAACATTATAAATCATTGACCCAAGTTTTTGTTATGTTGTCTCAACTGTACGTTTTCTGTGCTCAATAACATCATATTCAACGTTGTTACAAATCTAAAAGAATTAATTTCCTTCTTCTGAATTTGGGCAGTTTCGAGTGTTTTTGTCATCAGCACCAAAAACGTTAGCATCGACCCTGATTTTAATTAACCAAATTTTATTTATTGTACTTGTATAAGAGTAATATCAAACAAACCTAGTTCCAACATGTAACAACCAAAAACTCAAAACATACATTTTATAACCTTTGCCCAAGCCGACAAGTAAATAAGTCTACAATTCAACATGATCCCAAGCGTTGCAGCGGGAAATAAAGTTTATTGCTGAAATTTATTACAAAACTAGAAGTAAATTGTAGGTGACTATCTAACTAGAAGAATGCGCCCACCCTTCAAACCTAGAGCTCACACTTTCCTTTGCTAGAGCTCTCAACATGGTACTTCCTTGAAAATGTTTTCAGTTTTATAAAAAGAAAACAAGGGTTATACCGGAGGTCTAGTGAATTCTCTTTAACACATGAATATATTATGAAAACATATTATTATAAAAACATAAAATGAAAATGAATTGTCTACGCTCCGAAATATAAAACACCAATACCTGTTGCAACGGTTGGACACGCTTATGGTCACGCACACTTGTGACCAAACATTCAAACTCACTCTTACCCTTAATACGAGCTACATTAAACGAACTCATGCGCTTTATTCGAGTACACACACCTGTAGTTCAAAATACCATCGTACACACTCATACAAAAAACTCACACTTTACCATCATCAAGATTCTCAAGTATATGAAATACATTATGTGAAATTTAGTCAAATAGTAATTCTAGCATAAATGGCAAGTATATGGTAGCCAAAATAGCGCGAGGAAACTCATCTGGTGTCCAAGCCTAGAAGTACACCCTTAGACTAGGATCACACCAACCGAAGACTTGAATTGGGTCATTCAGACTATGAATTAATACCTCAATTATACCCCAAAAGCATCACTACAAATACCCTTAAGGTGATGGCTCAGGATACCGCTCTAAAACACCCCTCGATTAAGATTGAAATCGGTGAAACATTAGCTTAAGCGCGGCTAAAGTCGCGGTGCTACCCGCACGACTTTCTGTTTCACCTGCACAGTTATGCTCGAACTCTAACACCTCAAATCCAATACCAAACTTGATTACAACAATGCTTAGGGATTATAACTCACACTATTCATCTCCAAATAATTCCATCAATAGATTCAATTTAAAATCTCTAATTTAATGGATTATACTCAAATCTTTAGGGCTCATAGTTGAATCTCATCCCATAACAACAACAAAAAAAAAAAAATCAATTATGAAACAAAATCCACCATAGAAATCCACTCCAATTCTCAAATTCTCAATGAAGAACTCAATTTCCAAATCAAAATCATTCAACCAACATATTGAACCCAAATTCTCCCAAATACCACATCATTAAAGAAAGTAAACATAAAGAGAAGGGTGATCTTACCTAAAATTGACGTCAAACTTCTTGAATCTCTTCTACCTTCCAGCTCCTTCTCTACACCACCTCTTCTTCCACATTTTCTCACACGCACATACACACTACACTTGAATCCGTTCAAATGATAAAGAAAATGAACCCAACTCCCTCTTATTAGTTATTTACACTCCAAACAAGCATGCTGAGTTTATAAGCCAATCTTACCCTTAAATTTCAATATGATTTTAAAAGTGGGACTCGGGTTATTACAAAACATAAATTCGACTATAATACTATGTTCGTGTTTGGACACTTTGTTCTTCGACTTTCCATCTCTTGTTCAATTGTGTTTTTAATAGATTGTTGCCTTTCATAAGAAAAAAACTAAATAACTGAAACATTATATATCCATGTTTATATCAACAAAAAAAACTTTGTCCACAAATAGTTAAACCAAAATAGAAAAAAAGATTCTCTCATTGGTCCATGAACAAATTAGTAGAAGTATCTCTATAAACAATTAAACCAAAATATTTCACCAATATACATACACATATATATATATATAGAGAGAGAGAGAGAGAGGAGGGGGAGTATTAAGATCGTTTGTTAACATGAAAAAAATATTAACTATACAAACTTTTTAGACCAATCACAAGCCATTATTATCTTAGATTCATCTATCACCATGCAATTAATATTGAGGATATATTGGTAATTTTTTTTTGTCTTACTTACATTTGCATTAATAGGTTATTACAAAAACTTCCCATCCCATATGATTCTAGCTAAAATTTATTATGTTTATTTTTTTTCTAGATTATTGGTTTGATGTTTTAGTAGAATAAGAAACTTGGCTGGTCATATTCAACATATATGTAATCGACATCATTCTTCACATCAAGCAACTGGTTTTGATTTATTGAACGATAGTAATGGTTGAACAAAATTTCATTCTTCATGAGTGAACATATTTTCAATAGGTGTACAATGTTCACTGTCTGTTAACATATGAAACGATGAAACAACCAAGTGAATTTTTGTAAACATATATGAACATCCAAGCAATGCACATAACATATATGAACATCCAAACATACTGTTCATAAGTGAACTCATGTTCATATAGAGGGGGAGATACTCTCATGTGTATTATGATGGAGATTTTTGTATTAATGACAATAGATTAATATACACATGAGCGGTTATAAAACATGAGCAGTTAAAAAACATTAATACACACATGGGCAGTTACAAAACATCCACGTCTTTATGAATTTTTTTTAATAATATCATTGTTGGTATATGTTCATCTTAGATGGTAACATATTATATTACTAGTTATTACAAGATTGTTATCATACATGTCATTCATTGATTCACAAGATAAATGGTTGTGATAGGTTTACAAAGTTAACACCATAAGTTAGGTTAACAAAAGAACCTACCCCTAAGACCACATGTCATTCATTGATTCACAAAAACATGTGTGTGTGTGTGTTTGATTTCATGTGAGACCAACATGTTTTCGTAAGACCACATTTTTATACTTGAAACTTCACAGCAAAATTGCAGGCTTGCAGCACCAATTAAGGAGGAAGAGGTGGGCAGCGGTGACGTGTTTATACGGGTAGTTAGGTTTTGGTTTTATTATTGTTTTTTCATAAATGTTTTAATGACTTAAACTCTATGCATTGTTAACTTCTACACTGATTAATATTTTAACTAAAAATAGATAAAAAGAAAAAAAAAAAAACTACAATGCTCTTGATTTAACAGACAGTTTTTGACAGACTTAAATTCAAGAACGAAAAATGAAACAAATTAAAAACAACAATAAAAAAAAACAATTTTAAAATAACAAAAATCGTCATAAACAACAAATCACAAGGATAAAAATCATAGTTTACCGTCATACTTAAGTCTGGAAGCCGAAACGAATGTCAACTTAAAAAATCCTCAACTAAACCAAATTTGGGTCAACGGCGCATTAATTTTCCTTTTATTTTCTAAGAATATTGGATTGACTTCCTTACCTAATACCTATATATATGAGGAGAGGACCAAGATGCAAAGGCCCATTGGGCTTTGGTTTATTTAAAGATCACAGACACAAAGTATGCATTTTCTTTTTGCTACAAGTTGATGTTGTCCTAATTTTTATTATATTTAAACGACAATTCAACAATATGAATTTGAAATTCTCATCAGAGACCCAAGATAATTATTTTCTGCTATTTGCAGATTTTTACCGTCACACTCTTACTATTCATTGATCTTCAATTTTCTATTCACTTTTACAGTTATAACTCGAACACATCTATTTCATACAAGCAATTTCACCGGTTACCGATGTTTTGATACAAACACGATATCCCAACACTACCGTACATGCTCGTTAATGCATTAGGTTTATAACGACATTTTAACTGTGCAAACTTCATATCAAAATGTAATACATCATATCATTAATGTCTTTGTTGAACCTCTGAGATAAAGCATTATCTAACTACAAAACCAACTATATAAATTGTAATCATTTTATCTTTTCTGAGTTCAACGATATTCTTTTCTCTCTTTTGTATCATGATTGTATGATACACATTATTATCGTTTGTATTAATATTCCTATGTTTTGTATTCCAATATAAAGAATTATAAGTATTCGTCATTAACATATTTCATTATGTTTCTACTGTTTGATTAACTATATATGGCATTATGTCTATTTCTTACATAGAGGAATGATCATGCGAGAAGTTAAACATTTTGCGAGAAAGTGAGAAGTTTCAATATTATATATGATTAAGCGTCTATGTGTTGTCAATACAAAATGTGTTCAATAGTATATAATTAAGTTTGTATCATGTGTGTAATCATATATGATATTGAAACTTCCCGCTTTCTCACAAAATGTTTCTCTTTTCGTTTTAACCTGCCCCTTATAACATAATCCATAGGATTCCATAATAAATCTCGGTTATTAATTATTACAAAATCCTTTAAAACTAACCGACCATGCTTTAGACTATTACATTTCATTCAACCACATGAAATGGTTATAATTCATAATCATATATATTTTTAAAACTTCATAGTTGTCTCTCTATATTTTTACTAAGGATATGATGGCATTTGATGACTTAATACGGTGTAAAACTATCTCAATATACTGTAGGGAAAACTTAAGACCTTCAAACAATCGAAATGAAATGAAAAATACATATTTAAATCCGAGTAACTGAAGTATTGACATAGTTCAATGCGGCATAAACATAAACACAAATTGTACGGAATAAACATAAACACAGATTGTAACATCATCTAACAGATGCTTTTACTTCTTTATCTTCTCCCTTATTGCATTCGGACTT